GAGAATCTTTTTCATTTACGCGCAACTTCTTATAATTTAGGGTAATCTAATGTAACTCACTGGTTTTGGTATCATTTGGAACTCGTTAATCTTAATTGAAGTTGCGTTTAATTATGAGTATCAATTACTAGCCCTTCTCATGCTCTTAGCATTCCTTCACACCATCATTCCAGAATTACTTTCCGCTTGCAAATGCACTTATCCATATGAGTACCTTTCAAGGTGTAAGATTCTTGACAGTTGAAGCTTCAAACTGAGACTCACAGGGAAAGTAAAGAAACGAGAAGTGCAAGTATTTCGCACTCTTCAAAAGTGACTACGGAAATATAATTTTTTTTTAATTTTGTTAAGCTAAATACTTTTATTTTTATTTGAATTATTAAAATCAACAATTTTTCTTTTCCTAATGAAACGATGGCATGTTGGAAGCATTAATTTCCGTGTGTGAACAAAAATGATAAATTCGCGTTATTCTTGCTGTTCAGATCTCCTCGGAAGATAGTTGCCTTAGCACTCTTTTGTGTGAAAACTTCTTTGAATTTGTGTAAGCAACTAATTAATTTGATGAATTACTCGAGTTACTCAAAATATTTAAGTGTGTACAATTCTATTACTCTAAGTGGAATAAAGATTTATTTTGACTCTCTTTATCAAAGGTTAATATTCATGTTAAGAGTTTGTTGAAATTTGAACTTTTGCTCTAAGGAAGACGTAATAAAGTATATGACTTATAATTGCGAGAAGTGAAATGCTTATACTTACCATTGCATTTGGTAATTTACTAACTATAATACTAGATATGATCTAGGAGCTCAAATTGTTTTAGGATACTTATTGAAAAATAAAAACATCATTATTTATACACTTAATTTTTTTGAAGTATTTCTTTAATCGGAAACTAAATAGTCAAATTGCAACAAAACAAGTTTTAGAGATATTGAGCAAAATTGTATTAATATCTATAAAAGTAACTATATATGATGGATAACATCAAGAGAATCGTGATGCTAGCGCACATTACTTAATGAGAAAAGTGAATCATATAATGTATATCTAATGTGAGTTCTGGAATACACACAAAAATTGTACAAGCGATGATACGAAAAGATACAGATATTATTCATCCAGAGAATATAATTAAACAATGGTAAGCATCTTTGTATCTATATGCAAATGTCTAATCATTCACAAAATAATACAAACCCATTACTAAAACTTACACGATGAGGTCGAAAAAAATAATCTGGATAAATGCCACATTTAATTAGGTATTCATATATATCCAAAAACACAGTTTGACTGCCGTAACCCCCTTTTGAGGCCCTATGCTCCACTGGGAGTTAATGGAAAAAAGAAAAAACCCAATATCAGATATTTCATTTATATTTAGATTTAGTTATATTATACCTATTTCAGAGATTTCATTTATGTTCTACTTCAGTTGGCATATTTGACGAACCTAAGACTTTTTATGTCAGAATTTACAATTTTCACATATCCTACTATATTCTAGGTTTTTTTTTACGACATGTTGTCACTTATCCAATATCGCTTTTTATCTTGACTTTGTGTGGAATTATTTAACCAACCATTTTATTGTACGGTTGTATAATGTTTACTTTACTTACTAAGTTTTTTGGAATTATAAAACAGAATGAGAAGGTGGGTAAAGTATCCCTAGATATTACAAGTTATAACATGGAGCATATTTTAGAAGTTCAACTATATTTTTAGAACGAAGTTTATTGCCAATCAAATGAAGAGACAGTTTGTAGAAAGCCAATAAAGAAGATTACTTATTCTAAATATAATATATCCAATGGAGTTGATAGTGAATGTAAGAGACTTTGAGATTATATAAAGAGTGAAGGTACAAATTTCAACAGGCAAGTACTCAAAACTAGTTGTATTTTCAAAGATATTTTTAAACTAATTAATGAGATGGATATGATATACAAGGCGTTATTAGCTGAATAGAACCAGTAATATGGTTCAGCTTAGAAAACTAAATGTTTAAAAAAACGTAATTTGTTCAAAACTAAAAACTGGGCACTAACTAACAACATTGCATGGTTAATACCGGTACTCGTTTAAAAGAGAGTGCGTTGAAAGGTTTTCACTTCGTATCTACTTAAAGACAACGCCGTGTGATGTCTCGGTCTCTTTCTATGTTCGTTTACTCTATTGTGTAATTATGTATATTGTATAGATTGTGTCTATTGTGCAGATAGAGCACTTAAAATAGAATATTGTATAGACACATAACCTTTTTTAGTGCAAATTTGACAATATTTTTTCTTCGTTCGCTTGTATTTTTATGCTCCCAGAATTTAATGTAATTTTTTTAAAGAGGTTTCGAAAAATAGTGAACTACAACAACAACAATTTTTTTATATTATTTTAATTAATTGAATTAATTAATTTTGCATATATTGTTTTTGTAAATCGCATGCAAGCAAATAATGCTGTTATCTATTTAAGCAGCATTCCATTCTATATGACTTCTATTTTTTTTCTATAGAAGAAAGTATAACACTTACTTCACATTCTTTAAGAAAGGAAGGGATATATTTTAATTAATTTTTCATATGTATTGAAATTGAAATAAGTGTCTTGTCTAAGGTAAAATTAGTTTCATAGAAATTCATCAAAATCAAAAACTTTAAAAATTAAATTAATAGCAATATTTAATCATTTTAATACTATTATAAATAAAATTATAATATTATTTGTCATTTATATATTATATTTTATTTATTTATTATTTATATTACTACTAAGTTCTTTCTGATTGCATCTGTATGCAATCTGGCCACGTTCCAATAAAAGGATCCAAAATTCTCATTGAGATACCCCGTAGAGATGTCGGTCTTTTGATAGGTTTACTCAGTGACCGTTTTAACATTATCGGCGTCCCTGGGCGAGAATGCCACAGCGCCCTCTATCTACTGTTGAAAAGTATGTAAAAAAGCGAAAAAAAAATTGTATGTAACAGTAATGAAATTATAAAATAATACTTTGCAATAAAAATACTTTTTATTATACGTAAAACTAATAGTATAAATTTGAAAACAACAAGACATAATAAACCTCATATTATGCATTTTTATATATTTCTTAATAGTTTCAAACATTTATTCTTATTCTTACTAATAAAATTTTACTTTTCTGGCCTTTCTATCTCTTACTATTGCATGTTTTATGAAATTTCGTTTTCGATTGACAAAGTTACAAATTTTGTTAACCTAGGTTGAGACATTGTCAATCGTAGATAGGTTTTTATCAGCTTAAGTTTTGAAAAGCTCCTTTCTGCACTAGCAACTGTTACAAGTATAGTCAGTAATATTCTCAGTACTATCCATACGTTTGGGTATATTTTTTTACGTCGATCTAGCGGTTCTTTACTTTTGGCGCCCCTGGGCCATCGCCCCACCTCGCCCACCCCTAACGCCGGTACTGGGTTTACTTACAGGTCACTGTTAACTAGGAAACCATGCTAGCAGATTAAGTCTTCCTTTCAATCAAATATGTCGTAGCTGTGGGGAAGACGATGAAAGTACCTCTCATTTATTATGTTTTTGCACAGATCATGCACGGCGGCGACTTAATAGTCTAGAAGCCCCCTTTCTTCTAGCATTTTTTTACTTTTATGCTTCGCCAAAAGTTCTAGGTGGTTTTAAACTATGACTTCTATATATACGGTAACACAATGGCTCAATAGGCCTAAGTGGATCCACTAGTAATCGCTGGTATAACCTAACCTAACCTATATTATTTTATAAATAATTTAACATTTATATATATTATAATATATATAATTATATATATTTATAATGTTGTACTTTATTCTTATATTTTAAACTACATTTTATATACTCATTTTACATGACTATAATAGGAATATATTTTTATTTCTTTTTAATAAGTAATGATTTTAAAGTAAATATCTGTCTCAGGGTAAAATTACGGGAATAGGTAATGAATTAGAAATTCATTAAAATAAAAAAATTAAAAAAATAAATTAATAACAAACCAAACTTTATAAAGAATTGTACTAATGTATATTATTCTTCCTTCTAAAACTGGTGAGAATAATTTCAATTAAAGTATTTTTTAATTCTTGCATAATTGTTATGTTAATTATATAAAAGAGAAAGCAAGTTTTAATAGAGAAAAGTGTCAGGATCACGAGTTGGTAAGTCTATCATTAAAGTAGCTGACAGCACATTAATTGCTCTGTCGTAGAAGACATTTTGTAGTAGGAGAAGATACATTATACATGCATATACATATATACATATGTGCATTCAAAGACACTTAAAAGATAATTTTCAAATAAAATGCAATGTAGTAATCAAGCCAGAGTAGTTTTGGACATATCTAACAAATTTGTTTTCCTTATATGTTGAAGTACAAATGGAACTAGAACTGCTAGTTCCATTCACACTGCTAATGAGCCTAACTGATGCGGTAAGAAGAAATTCTCGTAACCTTTGCCAAGAAACTGCAAATGCAACGGCAAGAGTTCGGCATTTCTTTTTGTTTATTGTTTTTTTATTGTTCTATCATTGTTGCTATTTCTCAGATGGATTAAAAGTACTCGTATCTTTTTCAGAAAAAATTATAAATTAAAAAAAGATATGCAAAAATGTGCTGAAAAATATTTTCTAAGCTCAGCAACGAACGGTTCGCTTTGGTGTGCTGCAGTTTATGTTTAAATCGCTTTTTACTCTTCCACGACAAAAATTGTTACCAATTTGCTTGTCTTTAATGTAGAATGTTGTTTCTTTAATTTGTTGTTGTTATTGTTATTGTTGTTGTTGTTGTACATATACTTATAGATATGCGTATAAGATTGGCTTGAGATGATACTCGCCCATTGGTGCTTCTTATTCTTAGCCACCGAAACTGTTTGGCTACACTTGCGCCTGACACAAGCAAACCATATAAAGAACTATCGCAGCGACGACCTGCAGTCATTTCAGTATTGTCAGTTCCAGAGCAAGCATCTCGTCAAGATCCCAGTTCTGCGGTTGAATTTTATCGCGTCGCGTTTATTTGAAATCTTACTTTTACTTTGTTGACAAATCGTGAAATTTTTGTGGTAATTTCAATTATTTTTTTAAATAAACATTTATTAGAAGTGTTATGAGAAGTGTTAGTAAATTATATATATATATATACATATGTATATATATTTGTACATTTATCAAGTGCACAGTAAATAAGTTAAGAAGAATTGAACATTGCAAAGAAAGTGTTGAAAAATATCTTCAAAAAATTGAAAGTTTTTTTGACTTAATATCACAGCTCTGTGATACACTTATATGATGTATGAGTGTAGGAAAATACACTATTTTATTACAATTATTTTAAATAAAAAACAAAATATTAATTTTTTTAGAAATAAAATATATGACATTTGATACATTTACAAAATAGTCTTACGATATATCACTTTAACGTAAGAGTGTGATGGCTAAAAAATTAGGAAGTCAAATTATTTATCAAATTATTGATCAATTAATTATCAAAAATTATAGAAACGTTAAACTTTGGTGTGAACCAAAACTTCATTTATTATACGTCTTCAAGTTTCTACTTCACACGTCACTTCACAACAATTTCTAACCTAAAAAATAAATTTAATAAAAAGTACAATAAAAAAAAATAAATAAAATGACAATAAGGAATAATAATAAATAAATAAATTAGTTAAATTTTTAATAGATAGATATCACAATTAACAAACTTTTTTTCTTGCACTTCATATAACACTACAGTAGTATGGAAACCCATTTTTCAAAAGTCTCTATTAAAATATTCCTGTTATTAATATTAAATTTTTGAAAAATTTTTGAAATCAAACAATTTCTTACCAAATTAAAAATTTTAAATAAAATAAAATTTATGTAATAAGTGTAGTAAGAAATAAAAACTTCACTCTAGATATGAACGTGGAACTTTTTAGTACTTAGTCTTTATCTTTACTTTATTTAATTTTGTATTATTTTATTTTATTTAATTTTATATTATTTTATTTAATTTCATTTTATATTATTTTATTTGATTTAATTTAATTTTATTTTATATTACAAGTTTTTGATTATTACGGCGCTTAGGTCGTTTTTAACACATAAATTGAAAAAAAATGTTTTTTTTTTAAATAAAAATTTACACTTATTAATTTGTGTTAAATATTTAATTATATTTAAGTTTTTATAAAAAATTATTTATAGCACAGATATTTCGGTATATTTCGTAGACCAAGGTCTACTATAGTCTATTTAATTATATATTAAATTAATATATAGTTTAATATATAACAAAAATTAATAAGTGTAATTTTTAATTTAAAAAAAAGACATTTTTTTAATTTTATGTGTTAAATAAACGATCTAAGCCCATTAATACTGAAAAACTTCTTCAAAATTGGTCGTAATAACAATTTATTATATTATATTATATTATTTTTTTATATAATATAATTAAATTTAATTTAATTTTATATTATTTTGTTTTATTTTATTTTATTTTATTTTATTTTGTTTTGTTTTGTTTTGTTTTGTTTTGTTTTGTTTTATTTTATTTTATTTTATTTTATTTTATTTTATTTTATTTTATTTTATTTTATTTTATTTTAATTTATTTTATTCAATTTAATTTAATTTTATTTTATTTTATTTTATTTCATATTATTTTGTTTTTATTTTATTTTATTTTTTTTTTTTATTTTATTTTAATTTATTTCATATTATTTTATATTATTTTATTTTACTTATTTATTTTATCGGATCGTTCAGTTTCTTTATTACATTAAAATTATAAACACACAGTACTTGTCAAATGGAACAAATCTTCTAATCAGTACTGATCTGAATTATTCCTTTCGTTTTGTCTTAACTAGTACTATCAACACTAGTTAGCCTGATAGGTACTTTAATTCATTAAAGTATTGCCAGTTCAGTGTTAGTATTAATTTTAAAGAAACTAAATTATGTGATTTGATATCACGAAAACTATTCATCATGAAAGAGACTAATTGGAAGATTAAATGGTTAACTAATATAATATAGTTTTTTTTAAAATAATATTTATACTGAACTGATCGATCACCCTGTTTCATAATTAATATATAATTATAATTAAAAAAATAAACAGTATATCTTCAAAACTACTTAAATAATATCATAATAATTAAATATTTTAAAAAATTAAAATAACATATTAACAAAATTGTTAAAATTTGTGAACTTTATATGTTACTTCATAATTGATACAGAACACCCCATACATTTCTTTAATTCCTCCTCTTTTTTCAACCCACTCCATAATATTTCCAATGTTAAGATCAGAAAAACTCTTGAGATCATCAATGCTCCCGACTAGTTATAAAACGCTCATTATAATTTGACAATAATTTAGAATTAAGAAGGCTTCCTACTTAGTTTGATCCGTTTCCACTTAATTGAAATAGCTGTTTTTTTTCAACCCACTCCATATATTTTAAAAAAAATGGTTAAAAAAATGGTTGCAATCATCAATACTCCCTACTGATTATTAAACGCCCAACCCTCTCCCAAAATTAGGAATAATATTGATTTAAGAACGCATTCTATCTGATTAGACCTGTTTTCACTTTATCAACCTACCTGTGTTTTCTTTCCCCCACTCCATAATATTTCCAATATTAAAATCTAAAAAATGGTTGGAATCATTATTACTCTCAACTCTAGCTGCTTATAAAACTCCCAACTCTCTCCCCAAAAATTAAGAAGATTGTAGAATTAATAAGGCTTTCTACCTAAATTAACCTGTTTCCACATTAGCTAACTACCTTACTCTGTATCTTTTCTTTATTCGATAAGAATGTAAGACATGGCGTCACATAGATTACTAGCAAATAACTGATTTAATTTTATTAATAAAATTTTATTTATAAAATATGAGAAATTTTATTTTTATTAATGTAATATAATTTTATTAATAAAATTAAATGTTAATAAAAAAGCATAAATGATTGAAATATATTAAATGTGATATTAAATTTCTTTTGAGTTAACCGCACGTGTTAATCGAAGTGAATCCGTAACTATGCGGTTGTCAACTAAAATTAGAATCTTAAAATCGGATGAAATTTATAAAGTCGCCAACTGCACGTGAATTGCTCCCATAAAAGTCGTTTTTAATTTCTTCTAAATAAGCAAATAGAATCGTATATTTTATATGAAGCACTAAATGACAGCCGAAGAAGTAGGCAAATATCAAATAAAATTCTGAAATATGAGTGAAGACAGCAATCGAAAGCTACTGGCACTACGACGAAATTGATGGAGTTACCCAGAATACACAATGTATTAAATTTATGGCAGCCAGCAATTAGCTCTCAGGAGTAATTAGGTATTTTATTAGCCATGCAGCACAGCACCTTAAAGCCCATCAAATTGCCCTGCCCACTGTCACGAATTGCACTTGCTAAAGCGCCAAGAGACGTACAGCCCCAGACATTAACTGCCGCACTTCTTCGGCTGTGAATGGGTATGAGGGCAAATGAAACGAAGCTGCACATGATGAGATATTAAGGCGTATGTTAGATACATTTGCATAGGCAAACAGTGCTGAAGACATCAGAGTGGCAGTAGGAGAATGTGCACTCAGACAGACAAGCGGAAACTTCTACTTACAATTATAATAACTGCTCTCGACTCTGAGCTTAGATGCGCGGCACAAGCACGGATTGTCTGGTTAGCACAACGCATTGAAAGCACCGTATTTGCGGATCGCTCATTTGCGGCTGAGAATTGCTTAGTCTCTGGATTGTGCAATATCTTAAAATGCATGACGGGTTGCGCATCTGATCGATTTTTATTTTTATTGATTTCATTTGCTATTTGCTGAGATTATAAATGTAGGCTACTGCTGTGATATAACAGATGTGATAAATAAAAATAAACTTGAAGATGTTATTGCCAACTATTTTTAGAACACGATGTGAAAATATGCTGGAATGAGCTCAAAATGTGCTTGCTTATTTAACCCGTTATGGGCTTACTTTTATTGAATAGTTTTTTCTTTTTTTATTAATTGTTAGTAATATTTTTCCCAACTTAATTAGTACAGGTTATGCGCGCATTAGTAGAGATTTCCTTATGCATATATAATTATTATATAATAGATATTATTACTGAATACTAATAAACGCGCAATCATAAAAACTAGTGGTTAGATAGTAGTAGTTAGGTAGAAAAATTATAAGTGCTACTTGTTATTAAATTAAGATTGAAATATGGAGCGCAAGACGTGAAGGAAGTAACTCAATGGAAATTAACTTTACTTAACTGTTAACTTTATCTTTAAGAGTTAATATATCACAAAATTTAAACCTTATATAAACAAAATAATTTTAGTTATATTCATATATTTCTTATTATAAACATATAATTATAATGACATATTAACATACAGTGCAAAACTCTCTGAAAAGGGTACTTCAGAATCAAATTTTGTCGATTCAATAATGGTCTCCGGCAAAAAGGACTTCAGTTGTTCCAAATTAGCATAGTTATTATAATATTATTAGTATATGTATATGTCCATAATATAGCTCCATTCAAGTATATTCCTTACGGAAGCAGAATATACCTAGCTGGTTTGCTAAATAGCAACTGTAAGAAATAAAGAATATATCCACAAATCAAATTAAGAGCGCCTACTGATACATATAAATAAATAATACCTACCAGACTTGTGACGGACAAGTCTGGTTTCTCTTATCTAACTTAATGAAACAAAATCGAATTAAATTTTTTATATATTCTATATTAAGTTAAAATTTCCTGACAAACCTAATAAATATTTTTCTCAATGTACTAATAATTAAGGCCATGTTATATAGACAGTCATGGTCACATGAAATATGAAATTTTTGTTTATAAGATGAATTTAAAAATTGAGAATAAGAGTAAGAGATAAATATCGATTTTAATCTATCAACATGAAAAGACTTACTGTACCTCGATACATTGATCAAACAAATGTCAAATATGCTGTTTGATAACAAATGGCAGAATTTATACCTATTAGAAGCTAATAAGTTTATTTTTATGTGAATATGTTTCCATATCTATACAGATATTATTGTAGACACATTAATAAAATGTACTAAAATCATAGTAAAGGTAGTAAATTGACTATCGTGATATGACTCCCTATATACCATGCCTTTTGGTCATGCCGAAAAAGAGTAGATAATTGCCATGACTGACCCTTATTGTATGTAAGATGTTTCAAAAATAAAAAAATGTTGATAAAAATTTGATCCTTGGATTTTTGCAAAGAAATATATATTAATAAATATATATAATCCAAAAAATGCAAAATAGTCTCTATTGTGTCATTTTTTCATGAAAGCAAATCGATAGAAACTTATCTGAACAGAAATAGAAACAGATTACCATACAAATATCATATTTTTATATTGTACAAAATAGATCTCATTATATTTTTTTATTGGATTCTCGTTAGGTGTTGCGTTTTTTAAAAATATAATTAGCTGAGAAATACCACGTTTCAAAAGTGCAGTGATCCGTTGATCATACAGTGATCACTTTTAAGTATTCTTTATATATCTGGATACTGTTCTAATCGTTATAGAATATATAACAGATAGATACGTTTTAAAAGTACAGTAATGCACTTACCATACATACAGTCGATGCCAATCACTTTTAACTATTGTTTATATATCTGAACAACATTTGAACCGTTATAGGCTTTGGGATTATAACCTTTAAGCCTATAAGCTTTATGTTTATAGGTATTATATTTTTTATATTGATTTCATTGATAAAACTTAATTAATTGAAAGTAATTACTTTCAAAACTTTTTAGATTACATTTGAAAGATATATTTTTTTGTCACTAATATTTCGACCTAAAACTACAGTCATCTATATAAATTATAGACTATAGTCGAAATATTCTTCGCCACTGTTTGTAAAATATGGTTCTTAAAGTATGTATAAGTATTTCGACTATAATCTGCAGTCATCTGTAGAGAGTGTGGACGGTAGATGACTGTAATCGAGACATTGACAGTTATCTGTATAGATCTATAGCTGACTATAGTCTAAAGCTATATTATTGGTGCAAATAACATATATTTTTTAGAGAGGTTTCGAAAAGTAGTAAGCTACAACAACAAAAATGTTTTTATATTATTTCAATTAATTGATGTTTTAGCTGACCATACAACTCTTTCGAGTATTGCCAAATACCCATTATCAGTGGTCTGGAAATTATTTCTTATATTTAATAATTCGTAAATAATTTTCTGAGACTGCAAGTACGAAGGATTGATGTCAAACTTCGCTAAATTTGAAGCTCAGAGTCAGCATAGTTTTAAAAAATAATTTAAGAAATTTTTTATTATTTAAACAATTGACCAATTAGTCAGTTTAAAAATATATATAAAGTTATTTAATGTTAAAAATTTATGTATATTGTAGTTTTCTTCGTTAAGTAATATTATTGGGTTTTGGTGGAAAAAAGACACACTAACAGTAAAAGGTTAAGCGCAGATCATGAAGCACACGACACAGCTATCCTACATGATCAATTAAGCATTTCTTCTATGGACCAGAGGATGACAGCAGACAGCAGACAAAATTTGTTGTCATTTTAGTTTAGTATTCAATATGTTGACTCTCTAATTGCCACTTTATATGCCAACGTCATAAAAATTAACATATAAATTATTGCGAAGAAACATTAATTTACTGCATTTATTCTGACTAATTCATTTTGCAGAAAGAACTTTGTGTGTACAAGTTGATTAAGTTGTTGCACAGAAGATAAAACATATAAAAAATACAAAAGACTATAAATAAATTGCAGTTGTAATATAAGATAATGTGTTTATTAGAGATAAAAATAATTTACTTCAAAAAGCAAATTAATAGTGTCTAATTGCGATATTATTTTGATTAGATATTTATTTATACCACAGTAAACATCATTTGTTATACTTATAGTTGGAAATATTTTTTATTAATTAATAAGCGATAATTTATATACAATACACATATATTTGTATATTAATTTTTTTATTTTTATTTCAAGACAAAATATGTTTGCTAAAAATCGCGCCACTCACTACATAATCAGCACATTGTTACTTTGGAATTATCTGGTATCGCAGACAATAGCTGCTAATTTACCACAATTAAAGAATCAACAAAATGCTATATTACACCACCAACAACAGCAACAGCAACAACAACAGCAGCAGCAACAACAACAGCAACATCAACAATCACAACAGCAGCATTCACAATTGCAACATGCAGAATATGTGCATGAAAAGGATCCCATGTCGGATGTACTCAAAACTGTCAATTCTGAAGAAAATTTAAGTGACTCCTATCAACTGTTAAATGACTTTAAAACTGACTCTCATCCAACTGAATCATATTTTCCTTGGCAAATGCCATATCAATCCATGACACCACAAAATAATTTTATGCCTTTACCACGGTTCCCAGCTTTTCATCAAACGCATTTATTCGACAACTTTCTTCCAATGCATACACCAAAGTTTTTACCATTTTTTAGTTACCCACAACCTGTACTTGTACCTTATCCTTTTTTGGTAACTCCTGATATGTTGTATCCAACTGCATTCCCTGTAACACCGACAAATGACAATGAGGAAAGTATGTCGCGTGCTGCTAATGGACGTCGTCCATCGTCATCAACTTTATCCTCGTCTTATCCACGCAACTCACCAATTTACTACGTACGTTTACCACCAACTCCGTATATGTTCTTACCTAGCTTTAATTTTGGCGCTTTACCTCAACCTGGGTTTACTAGTGGAATTACTTCTATAATACCTCATCAAGCAATGCCTACATACCCTACGCTGAGTTCAGTTCTTAACTTGCCAGTAAACTTTCTTGCTAATGGCAAACCAACGAATATTTATCAAATGGGTGGTTCACCAAGTGATATACAAAATCCATTCAGACCAGCACAGAATCCATATAGACCAAGTACTACTTCAAGTAGCTTCCAGCCACATATTCCCTCTTACAATTTGGGAGGATTGGGTGCTACGCAACAAGATTCAAAATTAACCTCTCTTAAACGTCCTTTCATCTTTAATGGTCGACCAGATGATATTTTCATATTACCAAACAATTTTAACCCAATTTCCGAATTTGGAGGTTACTTTTAGTTGGTTATTTTAGATATGATAAAATAATTATCAGTGGATAGTTATCTAACATAAGACTTTTTACTTGGAAAGTATTAAAAATACGAGTAATAAAATTTTTATTTAATAATAATTATAAAATAAAAATTTAATTTAATTATAAATACTTTTTTAAGAATAATATTTTTTAATTAATGATATTAAATTAAATTAAATTAAATGATAGGGAATTGCAAAAACAATTATTTATAAACTATAGAACTATAGAAATTTAATAAATGAATAAAGTTTAAAAATATTTTTATAACTATTTTAATGGATTATTGTTTTTTTTTAATGCAAAAAATAAAAAAAAAACAAATGACTTGTGGTAATTTAACGTAAACTAACGCCTCTGTTCAGATGCTTTGATTGTAAATACTATTATTTATTTAAAAAAATAACAATTTATTATATTATATATTATTAAAATTATATGAGCTTTCTGTGCCCATTACAATGTCTACATCAAAAGATGGGTCTGTGACAGACTGTACGTAAATTGCCCACGAAACCGTTGTGTTACTCTAGAGCTTAGCTTTTGTTTTAAGAATGTCCTATAATAGGAAACTTTTGTTATATATGCATTCTCGATTTAAAAGCTACCTGAATCACTTAGGCCAGTTAATTTGCTGTATGGATTACTTAAGGCCTCTCATATTCTTAACAGTTTCTAGGAATTCAATTAAGAACTTTTAGAATTGTAGCTTTTCTCCATGATACGACTGAAATCTGCACAATATATGATTTTTAATTCTTTAAATTACTCTTGGGCTATGAAGATCTTTTCTTCGAAATCCAAGTTTCGATGTATGCCTATCTATACTGCTCTAGATGATTGTATAAAATATATTTTCTTCTATATATAAATTAAAAATCTGGCAAAATCCATTGAAAAATCAATATACATTAAAATTAGAAGGCTAAGAAGAACTGTGTATGTCTGTCTCTATATATGCTATAATTATATACATTAAAATTAGAAGGATAAGATAAACTATATGTAGGTATGTATGCCTCTATATATGATATGATTATGATTATCTATAACATATGTATTACCATTTGTGAAATAATTTATAATCTGGCAAAATCAAGAGATGTCGTACCACCATTAGCCTAAAAGGACCACAAAGGATTCAAAAACACCAGGACCAAAGACCAAAAATGACTGCCAACCGGCAGTCCATTAACTCAAATGAAAATTAGTCACAAAAAATAACTTTGTGCCACCTCTACTAGATTAGTAAGACATTTTGACCTGTTACTGATATTAATGACTTCGATTAACATTCTCTGCTTCCACGCAATATATTAACTCAATTTAGAGATAGCATTGACCCCTTTGAAATGTATTACAATCCAAAGCGAAAATAATGAAAATGAAAGTTAAATTTGATTATACTCATTATGTATGCAATTCTCAACCATTCGCTGAATAAAAGCAATTATACTCATATCGACATTATAATCAAGTAATCGACTAGACATGAGGTGACAATAGGTTGGGTGTGGAAGGTTTTGCAATAGAGAAATGCATTTCAGTATGCAGATATAATAGTAGCACATGGGGAAAAAAGTAATTCGAATAGAAATTAAGAAAAAAATAATGTCATGCTTTATAGCTCTTATTAATTATTATTCTCTTTTTATTTAATAAAATGTGTTATAAAGGATAGGCACTAGTATTAACTAATAAAGTTGACGAATAATACTTAAGAGAGCGATTATTATCCGCACAATAATAATAGTAATAAAAATAAATATTGAATATATTAAACAATATTGAATAATATATTCAGATTCTAAAGAATTTAATATTAATATCTTTTATTTTTCCATATCCATTTTTTTCTTGAATTTTTCCTAAAAAAATGGGAAAATAACAATAACTCCTAATGTCTGAAATCAAATTTAATTTAAAAAATATGGTAACCATATAAGTATTTATTAGCTAAATGGTAAATACTAGAGGTAGCCTGTCTCAGCGACCTAGATCTAAAGAAGTACGCAGACTATTTTAACAGAAATGGTTTCTTAATCTATTCATCTAGAGCACAAAATCTTGTTGTCTTACTAAAGCGTATATTTTTTCATTATTTTTAATATCTATTATATTATGGAGACAGGTAAAATAAAGAATGGTCCCGCGAAAGAGAGTGAGAAGAATTTTCCCCTATTATTACTGATTCGTAAGTATGGATTAGTAGTTGAGGATTAGTAGTCTGGTCAACGTGGTAAATTAGTGATAGTGATGTTAGTAAAGTAATTGTACAACATAAAGCAACCAAAAATCGAAAACAATGATCCGGTTCTAAAAAGTATCGCGCAAAGACAGAGCAAATGAGCACTACTTCCCTTTCTAATTAATAGTAAGAACAATAGTTATTAAATGACACAGTTTCCTAGTCGAAATATCTGTCTATATGCGAATAGAATTAATTTGATCGTACAGCTAGAAGTTATATAAATAAAAGGTGATTATCGCTTTTTCTTCTTTTTCTTTCTTATCATTTTCTGTTCAGCCATCGCTACCCTGATTACACTATCACTAGAGTAATACAAACAGTCCATCACTAGAGTTTTGTGGTATTATTTTTTGGGAAGATATTTTTTTGGCACTCAATGCGTGAAGAAGAAACCACTGATTGATAATTTAATTTAAAATTTAAATAAAAATTAAAATAAATATTTTATGATCTTTAATGAATTTTATGGGGAACTCTTCCAGATATCCATTATCAGTGACGTTTTTATTGACTGATATTTTAATTATTTTTGTCAATAACTTTTTGTTCATATGTAATGTTTTCTAAATATTTTGTAAATACATAAAAAAATGTTTTAATAAAGAAATCAATTTTTTTTTTCAACTTTTACTTTAAAGCATTTGTAGAGAGAAAGTTATTGCATTTCTCCCTTTTTTTATTTTAAAAAAGCATTTCTTTAATAGTAAGTTTTTATTTTAATTGGCAATTAATTCATGATTTAAACAATTTGCATTAAATTTAAGTAATATTAAATTAAAAATTGAAAAACTAATTCAATTGCATTTTACATGTGGTTAAGTACAAACGTGAATTTGCTTTCAATAAAAAATATACATATATTAATAATAAAAAAAAAATAATTATCAAAAACAAATATAATTTAATTAAAAATAATTATTCATTATAAGCCATACATTGAAACACCTTTCTGAAAACTAATTCATATTAAAATGTTATTTCAAAAATATTTTTTATTTCTTATAATCGTTTTTCTACTGTTGAGTGATGAGCTTTGTGAGTCCAAAAAACTCAGACGAAAATCAAAAAAGCATAAGAATATGTCAGCAAGTTTTAAAATTTGTAAGTTTTAATAATATAATAAAAAAAATTAATATATTTATGGAAATTTTAATCCAGTACCACCAAAACCAGCGAATAGACGCAGTTCTTCGTTATCACCGAAAATGCCAGGACTACGTGGTTTTCATCCAATTTTCATAGATCCTCAACCTATTATATATGGGGCTCAACCATCACCATTAAGTTGGCAAGGAAATTTTGGACCTTTACAGGGATTACGACGTTCCGATGATTTTTCATTATTACCATGGAGCAATAGACATACGCTTGGCAGTCAAATTTACGGTTTGCCTAGTTTACTGAATTCACCTTGGTTTGGACACAGTCCATTTTATGGTGAACCTCTCCATATGTATGTTTAAAGTTTTGATTGCTCAATGTCTCATTTATTTAATAATAAAAAAAGTAATTTTCTTTTATATTTTTGAATAAAGTAAAATTGTGTTCTTTAGTTTTGCAAAAACGGGGCTAGTATCTAAGTAGTTAGAGCTTCAACGTGCCTATAGTTAGCAATACACATTTAGATACATCACTTACAATATATAGATTAAATAATTGTGTTGCTTAATAAATCATTTTTTAAATTCTTGAGATGTCACCACAACATTGTTTGCTGATGGTATTTTTCTTATTTTATGTAAATTATATGCGTGGAATTAATATGCTAATATATATTATTATTTGTTATCTTAAAGTTTCATGTCTTAGTTTTTGATATATATTTTAATCATATCAGCTCATAGGTCTCTAGAAAGATCTTTATTTCTGATGTGTCTGTATCCTTGAAACCTTTTTTTTAGAATGTTACAATTAACTAAGATGGTTTCATAATATTTTTGGAGATAGATATGCTGTTCTTTACATATAGTTTATTACCACACTTAAATTATTAAAAGCGTTTAGCAATTATCTAAATCTGGTATCAAACCAAGACACCCTAAACTGTCATACTATTCTATATTTATGTTATTAACTTTCATCTGTATATATTTTTCAAGTTACAAATCGCATTTTGTGTCTTGTTTAAATGCTTTCTTACATTTTTAAATATATTCAGTATTCAGCTTATGTTCTTCTGAAAAATTTTAGATTTTGTTCACTTTTGTCTGAATACTGGATGCGGGTGCCATCTGTATACAATAACAGCTTTCTGAGATATTTATACTGTGTAAAAATGGTAGTAGAAAAACTATTATTTCTATAATCTAATAATATTAAGATCTAATAATAATTTTTGTTGAACTTTGTATATTAATAATTTTTAATGCCATTTTTGATTATATATTACTCAAAACATTTATTCTCCAAAATGTTGATATTGAAAGCATAGTTTAGGGGATAGAAAAACCTTTAGTCTCCAAATTTAAAGAATTCTACTGACAGGTAATTCGATTTGATTTAAATTAATCAGAAATACTATTGCATTATTACTTTATAGTGTATTACCAATAAAATTGAATAAAAAATTATGCAGTCGAACTGTCACTAGAACTTTCATATAAATGATATATAGTCAAATTTCCATAACTCGAACTTCTAAAATTTGAATTTTTTATAACTCGAACTAAGTAGAGTGCAACAGGTTTTAGAGAACAAATTGCATACAATTACAAAAAAGTTCTTTCATAGGAAGTTTCCATAAGTCGAAGTTTTTCTTTGCAAAATGGTACATCGAGTTATAGAAGTTTGACTCTATCTCACAAATTTTTGGGTATCGTCTAAAACATTTAATCAATAGCATTGATAGGTGTTCATTTTTCATAACTTGTTCAAAAAGACGTTTAAACTCAAGTTATATTGCTTACATTGCAAATTTTACAAAGAAATTTGTAGCTGTTTTTTACGGTTTATTTTGTATTATGGTAAAAAGAAGGATTTTATTGCATAATTTTAGGAACAAATCTCCAGAAATTGAAAACCGATTGTCAGTGACTCGATGATCGCTATCCAGGTATAAATTTGGATCATAGTATAGTAGTAGTGCATAGTAGTTAAAAATAAATTTATTTAAATGTTCATTTATACTTATAATGGTTGCAGGGTTAGTGTATGCTTACAGCCTTATCACAGGCAATTGCAAAAAAAGTTAGCTAACCGTAGTTCTACATTTAGAACATAAATGAGAAACCAAATAATGTATTCCTGTTGTATATCTAATAAGTATTAATGGTATTACGTATATGAATCAATGTTAAACAACGATAAATCACATATAATATATGTTCATAAATCACGTATACATTAAAATGCATTATTATCAGTATCTCAGTTGTCGAACTTCCTGAGAAAGCTGAGAAGTATGTACCAATTATCACCAGTTTAGTATGTTTTTGGTGTAAAAAAATTAGTAATGCAGTTCCTGACAAAATTTGCTAATTTACTTAATATCATTTAAAACATATAAAGATATATAAATTTAAAATAATAAGATACTGCTATTAACGGTTCGATTATTATTTTTAAATTTGTCAACATTAACACAGTTGACCTACTCTCTCTACTAAGCCCGAAATTACCGACCATACGAAAATCTATGCATACCATACCCCGACTTGCGTCGTTAATTGGGTTGGACCAAATGTGACGCAAATCGAATCACATTTTTCCACATTCGTAATTTGTTATTGATGGTGAATCACTTTTTAACTTATTGTCTGTCGACAGAGCCTTATTCTTAATTAACATTTTCGATTAATGCCATTCTTCTTTGATTTTGATTTTCTATCCAAATGGGAAGAAAGAGCTCAATTTTTACAATTAATGAAATTCTTGGTTTCGTAACTTGTTTGGCCTGCAAATATGTGACAACTTTTCCGTAATTCTTTATCTTGTCCGCTTCACGACAACAAATTGTTCTCTCACTAGTTAGAGGTAAACCCAAAATTCTCCCAATATCAGCAGGTTTTTTCCAAATTTAAAAACTTCCAAGGAAATTTTTTTCGCTTTTGACTTATTTTTATTTTTTATAAAGCAGAAATTTATCTTTTCACTTAACCACACCAATATAAACTGACACCTTTTAACCTAAAACTTAATACCATACATGTAAATCCCCTTTTAAAAAATGTAACCTACAAGGAATAAAATGGGTATCTCTTCTGAACGCATGTATTAAAAACGACACAACTCGAAGTCTTTTGTTTTCATAAAACGACTGAATTACTACTAAAATCCAAACAGTCTTAATATATTCGTAAAAGTGATATAAACTTGATATAAAACTGATATATAAGATAAAAACTAAAATAAGATATATATAATAAGAAATATAGCAAAAAAAAACAAAATTGCGAGTACAACAATGCGGTCCGGTAAAATGGGGACGATACTACTTAAGTTGGGCCATAACAGTGATCCATTTGGTATTCACTTTACTTGGTAAACTCATTATATTCTTGCATACATAATTTCAAAGGGTTAAAAACTATTTCGAACAAAATGTTTTTTAAGAGGTAGTCTAGTCACTAAGTTAGATTCTCTAAAAAGTATACCCCTAAGATATTAAATCTATGCTGCATGTATGCTTAAAAATGATAAAGTAGTTAAAATGAACATGGGTACTGAAAATGTTATGGGTACTTGATATCCTTATGTGGTTTTCCAACTAACAATACTGCTAGTCATTTAAATAAGATCGTTAAATTATTTTATAATTTATTCTATATCTTTATATATATCTTTATATATGTAATATATTATTTATTTTATTATTAAAAAAATGATAAGTTTGCGTTCGAATGGCTTTCGTATCGTTCCTTTATGCAAAGAGAATTTCAATAATAGTGTCCCAGAGCCTTAGAGCTAGAGTGATGAAAAAATTATGATGCTAGAAATCTTCTTAATATCTAGCAAAAGTAACTATTTCTGTAATTTAATCCAAAATATTTTTTATTAGGAATTATATCACAAATGTGTAAGTTTAACAAAAATATTTTCAAACATCTAACCTTAGAGATACGTAAATAAGTAATTGGACTTGGAGGAAAACCAATTAAATTTTTGTGTTATTTTAACAGAAACCTCCTACTTTCTGTCTACATCAAATTAGAATAAATTATTTACAAAATTTATTTCTCGATCCATAAACCGTTCCACTTCTGGCTGCCTACTAAAGAATTAAATTAAAAATGCAGTTAGTTGGTGCAATATCAATACAAAGGTTAAGTTACCTTCAACAAATTTATAATTGATATATTTATATTTTCTCCTAGTGTTCCTGTTGATTATAAGACAGCATGAACAATTCTTCAACCCGTTGCTTTGTTTCATACTGTCTCAACACCATTTTGTGCACCTCATAAAATGTTGCAGTGTAGGTGAAAAGCCGATATTCATTGAGATTAGCTATATAATCGCCCAACAAAGTTATGCTCTGTTCATCCTTTCTGTAAATGTATACATTAAACATTCCGGGAAGCGTTGAAGGAGTTACACAATTTAAGAGCATAGGACGTTCAACATTTTTAATGACGTTGTTATAGTATGCACCGAAGGGCGTGTCTGCGAATCTCGTTTCGGGATCAATTTCTTCATTTTCTGCTGAAGACATGCTTTCAAAAATATATGCGAAAATCAACAAAAAATATATTCTGCTAATTTTAGTTTTTAAATTTCTAAAAAATTAAAATTCCTGAAAATAATTTTAGAATGTAAATATAAAAATAAAAATTTGAATATTTAAATGGATATTTTAAAAGAAAAATCAATGAATTACGATTATAATTACGATGATTATCTTTAAGGTTTTGTCTCGTGGGCATTCCAAAAGAACATGCTTCGCATCCTCTATTTCACCAATATAACTAAAACAGAATAATTCAGTTCCGCGTTTGAAGCAGACTAGATATTGTAGATAAAACACCCATGTCCATTAAGAAACTCTGTTAGGTAGATGTTTATTTAGTCACGTTTTTAATTATGTCATATATCACAATACTAAATAATCCATACTCAGTAGATGGAATAAGAAAAAACTTTCAATGGAAATCAATAGAAAAAAGAAATGATCGATAACACTATAAGTTTAGTTTTATTTATTAGAAAAAGTTGGCATAATTATTAAAAATACGAATGTAAAGTAATACTTAATTTTTTATTTTGTTAAAAAAGTTAATTAAGTAAATATTCAAACGAAAATACTATTCATAAAAATATGTTTCATAATTATTTAAATTTATTTTATAATAATTATTTTAAAATAATAAATTTACACAATAACATATTTTTCATAATCAGCAAAAGGTTTGCCTAAGGCATCATGCCCCAAAGATAAACAGGCGGGATTATCTTTAAAAGGACCTTGTGATTCAAGTACTGCATGTGGAGCACAACGCCAAGGATCATCAGTTTCAACTTGCCATTTATATAAAAGCTGTAACAGCTCTAGCAATTTCTTTTTATAACTGGGTTTAGTAGCTAGATTCTTCAATTCCATTGGATCAGCTTTAATGTCATACAATTCATACTCTGGACGTCTGTAATATGTCTGTAAGGTTTTATACCACGGCAATGAAGTTTTTGTAATCGTAGCATTGAGAATTTGTTGGAATGTTGGTGAGGTATATAAATCTTGATCGATCGGGAAATAAGACCAATAATTTAGATTATGTATGAGCTTATAGCGTCTGTTACGTATCATACGCATTGGATAATTCATGGTGATTTCATGGAAATTTTGACTACCAAAAACAGCATCATTTTCATCAGGTTTTGGTTCAGCATGCAAAAGTGGAAGTAACGATTTACCAGTAGTTTTGGGTATTGTATTGTTTGGTGTATTAAAATGAAAAACATCCATAACTGTTGGGAATATATCAAGTAAACTTGTCATAGCTGATGTTGTATCATGACGTCTAGACTCTGGTTCTGGTGAGTACATGAACATTGGTTCTCGTATACCAAAATCATATAGATTGGTGCGTCCTCCTGGGAAAGGTGGGCCATTATCGGAAGTAAAAATAACTAAAGTATTTTCATTGAAACCATATTCCTTAAGTTCTTTTAATACTAAACCAACACCTTGATCCAAACGCGACATGGTCATATATTGTGCAGCTAATTCTTGCTGGGCTATGTTAGTTTGTGGCAAATAAGCTGGTATTTCTAAATTGCGCCAATCATAGTAAATGGGTTTCCAGTCAGGTATAGTGCCCATGCCTTCCTCACCTGAGCCCCAGCGCTCACAAAACTCACCATATTGTGGTGTTATATGACCACAGCGATGAGGATCGTGGAAAGCAACCATTAAGAAGAAAGGTTTATTTTCATTTTTCGCCTTTGTAAGAAATTCTTTAGTATATTGTTTGATATTCGTTATATTACGACCAATTTGATTGATTGAGTGGTGTTCTTCGGTCTGCTCATAATCGAAACGGAAATTTTCAGCGGCTCCAACATGTTTCTTACCTATGATACCACTTAGTATGCTTCCATTTGATTTTTGTCGCAAGATATTTGGCAGTGAGGTCACCTGTGGCAATACATTGAAGTTGTGCACTCCCTGATGTAAGCCATACATGCCATTCACATGACTAGCTTGACCGGTAAGTATTTGAGCGCGACTGGGAGAGCAACTGCTAACCGATGTAAATGCATTATTAAAGATTAAACTTCTTTTGGCCAATTCATCCAAATTTGGAGTTTGACAAAATTTGTTCAAATATGCGCCCATTTCGAAGCCTGCATCATCAGCCAAGAGTATGAGTACATTTTTCGTTTCTCCACTGACCTTCGACAGTCCCGAAAGACACAATAAATAAATTGCGATTTTAATATATTTAAATGACATTTTTTTTATTTTATAATTTAATTTTCTTTTTACTTATATTTTAATTTTATTTTTATTTAAAACATTTTCTATAAAAAATTAAAAACCGCAACAAAATATCTTAAACCGGATCGAGCGAAGACAGACACTTAACTAATTCCAATCTCTTGAACTGTTTCTCTACATGCTGAGTCTACTTTCTTTCTGTTTTGATTTTATTTTTTATTATTTATTTTTTTGTTGTGTATTTTTTTTGTTTTTTTTTTTGTGTTGTTATTATTTGTTGTTACTTTTTGTCGGCAATAAATTCATTAAATCAGCTTTTACTTAGCTTAGGCAGCGGGTAACTGCAGTGAAAGAAATAGATTGGTACTTTTGTAGATACGTATTTTTTTTGCGTTTGAAACCGAGGTTAACTGAATATTGCTTATTTAATCTTTTGTATTTTATTCTCATTAAAATAAGCAATCACTTTAAGTTCACAACAAATGACTTAAAATAAAAAAATATGCCCTGAATGGGTTTATCCGCTTTAATTTTTTGCTTTGAGCTCTGCACATTTCCACTGCGGCAAAACTGAGATACGATCGTCCACTAGATTCACAGAAGCAAAACGAGCCGAACTGAGAAATGTTATATAATAAAGATTAGAGAGGGAAAAACATTATATAAATTGCATTACATTTAACTTGAATCGGAAATTCTTAAAAAACCGATTGGGAGAGTGGGAAATTCTCATATATAAATATGAAATCTTGTATACAGGGTGTACCGTATCAAAGCGTTATAATTGTAGAAGTTAATTTCTTTGTATAAAAAATAAAACAAATATTTCCAATAAAGACTCCATTTCTAATATAAACAGAGATGTAATATATTACAAAGAAATCTGCAAAAAAAATGCTGCAGTTATAAATCTTTAATATCTCATTGGGTATTAAAAAGCGATCGGAAAAATAGATAATGGAAATGGAAAAATGGACATTTAATATATTAATGAATATAAAAAATCAATCGGAAAATAGAAGTATTCATTTTCAAAGTATTATAAAAAATGTAAAAACTACCTTTAGTTATAAATCCTCAGTATCCCAATGTACCTGAAAAACTATAGACACCATTTTAACATTATGTTAACATAGATGTAGAGATTTAAAGTGAAGTCCAAAGAACGTTCAATCGTAATCCTTCAACGCATGGACGCAATGGATGTGAAAAAGCAATCGTAAAGTGGGAGACACCATTTTTAATATTAACGGAGATATAGACTATTAAAAAAAATCTACAAAAAAAATCATTTAGCGAGAAATCTTCAATATCTTAATAGGTATTAAATAGGTATTGCAAAATGAAAAAATCCATTTTTAAAATAATAAAAGATAGTTTATTAAAAAAAAACTTCTAAAAAAATTTTCCAATCATTAATAAACCTTCAATATATAAATGGGTGTTAAAAATTTATTGGAAAATTGAGGAATTGCTATTCAATATTAACAGAGATATAAAGTAAGGTAATCCGAAAAATTTTAAATCATAAATCCTCAATATCCTATTGTGCATGAATAAACCATGGAAATATGGGAGATTCCATTTTTAATATTAAAAAAAATATACAGTATTAAAGAATGGTTTTCCATTTTTAATATTTACAAAGATAAATAGTATTGTAAAAAAGTCTACTCTCTCAGTCATAAACCTTTAACATATCAATAGATTTAAAAAAGCTATCAGAAATTAGAAGAATCCAATTTTAATATTAACAGAGATATATAATATTATAAAAAAATTATCTAAACCATCGATGATAAAACCTCATTATGTATGAAGAAATTATAGAAAAATTATGAATATTACCAATGATATAGCGTATTAAAGAGAAGTTTACCAAGAAAATCCTCCGCTAATAAATCTTCAATATCTCAACAAGTATGAAAAAGCTACTGGAAAATGTGAGAACCAATTGTCAATATTAACAGAAATCTAAAGTTGTGTGGAACGAAGATATTCGAAAAAGGCTTCAGTCATAAACCCTCAATATTACATAGTCATGTGTACGTCGGTTAATCAGGCGATGGCATGGATCACACAATATGTTTTATTGGATAGTAGTTTTATTATTTATTATTATTATTATATTATTATATAAAATATAAAATATTAAAGAGGTTTCGAAAAGTAGTTAACTACAACAACAAAAATTATGCGAGTCTATTAATTGAACTCGTACCCTGCCAAATTTGAAGTTAAAGGAAATAAATTCAGCATTCAATTAAATTAAGTATTAAATTAATAAATGGATAAAATATAAATATGGATAAAAATATTTTATATTTTACCGTGATTGTGAATAAAATTTATATTATCAGGCTTTTTTAATGTTAACAGAAAAAACTTATAAATTAAAATGAATTAAATATTATTCGTCAAATATTTGTAGACAGTTTATTAGAAATTCTGTACGTACTTCCAAAAACCGTTTACAGTAAATGAATTTTTAGTCTTGGCAACCATACGATTTAAGCTGCTAATTAGTTAAGCGGTTCAAAAAGATTGGACTAAATAAACCAGCAGTGTTGTTGTTTCATACGTTATTTTTAAAATAAGCAGTTGTTTTTTTATAAATTGATTAATTACATAAACTATATTTATAACATAAATTTAGTAAAAATAAAGTAAAGTTCTATAAATATTAAGTACACACACTTTAAATAAATTTTAAAATTATAATTCGCATCAAGTTTAAATATGTTTTATTGTATATTTAATATGCACAATATAAGAAATACGTTTCTAGTGATTTTAATATGATTTTGTCTTCAGTGACGTTTAATACTAAATATTTAGGTATAATTTGTGCATAAGTTATTTATATACATAAATTTAAATTTGTAATGTGATTACGCAGATAAACGTGAAATCAAACATGTTCTCTCTCTAATATAATTTTATCTCTTGTAAAATTTAATAGTACATTTTCTTTTAATTAATTAAATTATAATGATTGTAGTAAGATTTTCGGAATTAGTGTATTTTGCGAGTTTGTATAATTATTAAGAAATGTATATTTCAAAAGTATCTTACAATTATAATTCTCATCAAGTTTAAATTTGTTTTATTATATAAACATAAACAACGTAGGTAACATTTATTCAGTATTTTTAATATAAATTTTTCTTCAGTAAAATTAAATTCTTCCATTTAATATTCTACTATTACTTTAAATAGTGAAAAAATATTTCATTTTAATTTATAATTAATTGTTGTTATGACCGATATTTATTTAGTTTTTATTTTTTTTTTTACCGGCCTTAGGTCGTTTATTTAACACATTTATAGTATGGATTGTTAATTATGATTGTGGTGAATTGTGAATAGAGCCTTATATGTGTATATATTTAAAAATATTATTAATATATATATATATATTTTTTATACATTTTTACAACACAGATTAGCCAGTCTTCCCTTATCAATTCGTGGCAAAAGTGTGCAAAATGTGTTTATCACATTTTAGTAACCAAAATAATTATTATTTATAAAATTAATTAATATGTCAAATAATAATTAAACATATTATTAATTATTTGATAACACCAAACAAATAAAAGTATAAATAAGTTAATGAGTTGTTATATACTCAATTACCAACAAAGGAAATAAATTTGATATATTAAGTTCTATGATGGAAAAGCAGAAACAAAAAGATTATTAATATAAACAAATATAGATATGAGTAAATATTTACTGTATAAAAATAATTTTTTTTTAAAATAATTAAAAAAAATTGCATCACCATGGCCATCCATAAGGGAAGATGATTAAATTTCAAGCTATTGAAGCCAGCATGTTTGCTAAAACCAGATGATTTAAAGAATTCTGCGACATCTGGATTCTTCATGTCACAAAATGATAACTCTTCGTATTCATATCCTCTACCTGGGTGTCTGCTTTGAAGGATTCGATCCTAAAACAAAAAAACCTGTAATAATAAAAATCATTATCAACAAATTTAAATATCAATTAATTATTAATTTCTCTTGAAGCAAAACTTTTCAGAGCGAAATAATTTTAAATTCGCTTTTTTGAATAATGTATTTCAAAGCGAAAAAATAAATTTCGGTTTCAAACGGTGCTCTATTAATTTTTTATATAAACTATTTTCTATTATTAATCTATTAATTGTAATCTATTTCTTATTTTTGAATTCTATTTTGTCAAGATTTTTGTTCACAGTATTGTGCAAAAATATTGAAATAAGATAAAAAAAACGAACTAATAACATTGAAACACTTTTATTAAAACAAGCCCCTATATCGATACTATTATTCATACCAATAACAGAAATATAAATTTATCAATATTTTACACAATTAAATTAATTTAAATTAATAAAAAATAATATTAATAAATAATAATTATGCTTTTGTAGAACTCCACATTTTTCTATGTTTCTGTTAAAGTTCATAAAAAGTATTTTTGATTTATTATTATTTACTATAAATTTATCAAATTCGCTCAGAAAAAGGTTAAAATATATTAATGTTAATGAATAACAATTCTGTTAGAATTCAACATTTTTCCATGTTTCTGTTAAAGTTAAAAAAACTGTTTTTTATTTATTCCAATCATTAAGTAAATTTAATTCGCTCAGTAAAACATTAAGAATATTTTATATTAATAAATTAAAATAATATAAAAAAGAATTTTTGTTACTGTAGTTCATAAATTTTCGAAAACTTCTTTGTTAATAAATAACAATTAGAAATCTACATTCTTCTATGTTTCTGTTAAAATTATATATAACACAATGTTAACATTTTTCTCTGCTGCATAAAAGCAAACATATAAAATCAAACATAGATGCGCATTCAGTCAGTGAGCATATCAACAGCAACATTGATGTTATATTTGTAGCATATCTGGTGAAATGATAAAAATTATTACATCAGCCAATTCGCTTCTTCCAGTTCCTATAACAAATGGCAGTGCCAAAAATCGAAGAAGAAATTTTTTGCACAGCAACTCAACACTTTATACCGTGCCTTTTTATGTCTGTTCGTATTCTGTTAGCGTACTTTCCTAAGCATTTAACACACACGAACTCGTTTGTCGGTCGATTTCAAACATATCAGCAAATGCAGAGTTCAACGCAAGGGGGATTTATTGGTGTTAGTACCGACTCAACGTGATAACAGACAAACTTAGCGCTATGTTAAATATAACTTTGTACTACAAAATGCTGAAAACCTTGACTTTGTTATACAATGTATGTACGTATAATGACTCATATCATGAGAAATATTTATTATCTCAATTTATATACAATTTCCAATATTTGAGAAACCCTATAAAAATTTAACTGTTGCGACCACGCTTTTGAGGTAACAACTGATAATAATTAATTCTCAGGTTTAAAAATAATTTGATTCGTGTGTCAACAGTTGAGAATCATACAATAACTCTTATTTATTATTGTTTAGTTATTGTACATATTTATGTATTTACATATATAATCTATTCCCTTTTAAAATGTTTAAAGCAATTGAAAAACAAGATGACAAGGCAGATTTAGCGTTTTTTAAATTTTATGATTAATACGTCAAAGTACTGGCGCACATGTACATGAAAACTCAACTTTACTTAGCGTATCGGTACATGTTAATAAATTATAAACATGATTAATTTTATAAAATTGAATAATTTTTATGAAATATAATAATACTATTAGATTAATTATTTAAATTTTTTGTTAAATTTTGTTGTATTATTTAACGACGTTATATCGAAGACATTTATTGAACATTAAAGGCCGTGGGCGACTTTTAGTAAATTGAGGTAAAGTAAATTGAAATGTCTTACGGATTTGTTGCACTGCATTTATGTAAATATTACTTATTTACTTATTGCACTTATTAATTATTTTATGTTAAAAGTTTTTAAATTTATTTTTTTATTTATTAAACATCTTATAAAATTTTCGTAATGGTAACAACTAATTTACCTAATTTTTATCTAATTCACCTTACTGGAAATTCTGGTAAATATCATGAATCAAAAAAAATCAATAAATTGCAGTAGTGCAAACTGCAACTTTTAATTTTTTTTTTTAAATTTACAAAAGGCTTACTTAGAGCTATTTTTCCATTTAAATATGATTATCCCAATATTCTGTGAACGGTCTCAGAATGACACGTCTTTCCTAAGTCTTTTTTTCCACGTCTTCCAACTTTGGAGTGCTTGTTGTTGTATTTTTCGAACGTAGTTTACTAACCATCTCGATTCTTTAACTTTAAAAATATGATTGGGAGCTTTTCGACCCATATTTTGTACACAATTTTTATGTAAAAAGTGTTCAATTATGTGCTGAGCTGTTGAAGAGCTTAGATTTATCATTTCAGCTATATTACGTTGGGAAATTTCCTTTTTCAAATGCTCCAATACCAAATATCGCTTTCCAGCTGATGTACCCCGTACCATGGTTAATAAAATGCAGGCACTTTAATTTTTTTAGTAATTTCCCTCAAAAATATGATTACAAATGATCGCAAAATAAGAATATTTTTATTTCAGTCTGAAATAACGACTATATTAATGGTACTCTTAACTGCATCATTTAAGCTGTGACATGAATTTTTCATTTGTTTTTGGTTTTTGTTGCATTACTAAAGAATGGAAAAAGATTTTCGGGTTATTATTTTTGGAAATGAATTAGAACACTACAAATAATAACTTTGTATACTTTGTTTTTTTAATTTTGCCATATATTTTGATATAAAAAACACTTTTCAAAAAATTTTTGCTTGCATCAAATAAGCTGTGAGCCATTGTATATAGAAATAATATATGTGTACATGTAGAAACTCTATTGAATAGCATAAATAGCATGAGAACTTAAAACTTTCATTGAAATAATCATCATCCGTGACTATGGACCTACGTGGACTGTAGGACCTAAGCCTATTTAACAACAGTCTTCCATTCTTCTCTGTTTTTTGCTTTTATTTTTCAATTTTTTATGTTCATTTCTTCTAAGTCCTGCTGCACACTGTCTTTTTATCACATTCTTGGTCGTCCTCTTCTGCTGTTGGTTCTTACTATGTTCTCATAAAATTTTAAGCGGTAATCTCATATACGGCATCCTTATCTAATGTCTAACTCATCTGACAGATCTTTGAAATGTTAGACTGTGTATATATAAATAAATTTTATTTTATATTATATACATAGAAATATATAGAAATAATTAATCATTTATCTGTATTTTATTTTATATATATAGAAATAATTAATAATTTATCTGTATTTTATTTTATATATACAAATACCATATGCATATGCTTAACGGTTTAATCACGTGCTTTCCATACTGTTCGGCCACTTCTGTTGAATTAAGCAGTGTAGCTCTCAAATAACATTAAGCATGTATGAATAAGCTCAGAAATGTTAACAAAATGTTCTCTACATGACTCTTGCTCTCATAAGTAACAGCAAAAAATGAAACTGTTTGAAGAACGACAAAGCAAAATTAACACCATTTCGCTTTATCTGCCATACGTAACAGACACATTTTATACAAACGGGAATTTAATTTAGTGCAAAACGGCCAAGCATTTCTTGTGAATCTGTTAACTTATCAGCTGTGCGTCAAACGTTGAATTATTTAAAAATATTTCGCAAATTTGTGTTTATCTGCGTAACGTAAAAATTGTGTGAAATTTTCTGCAAGAAAATTGTTAAATTATAAAAATCTAATAACATTTTAGCTCAACCTAAATAAGGTTTAATAAGTGATTTCCACTTAATTGTATTATTACAAGCATTTCTAAGCAAGCGCTAATGGCATCGATCGCCTGTGAACATCGGTACAAAGATTTTATTTTCATAGCATTGTGATTTTTGAGTGTCTTTTCAAATAAAGAAAACAAATATAAAATTGGTGTCGAAAAAAGTTTAAATTTGTCTGCTTAACTAAAACTGCGTTGAACGCATTTTAATATACTTTACATTATACATTATATTTGTTTATATAATCTTAAGTGTCTCTATTTGTCTGGATACAAAATATATTGTGCAAAACAGAAATTGTTTTATTTGAAAAATACTTTTTGTGGCATTGAAATTGGATTGCGTCAAGTTCGCGTCAAATAATTGATTTGTCCTAAAACTATGTTAGCTGAACCTTTAGCCAAACTCACCTTTTCAGCTGCAATCACAACAGAAACAGAAACAGTGAACCAAGTTAACTCCGCGACTGCTATGCAACGTTCGCTTACTTCTTGTCAGCAACATCGTCATTACCGTCATCTTCGTCAAGGCGTTTGTATGAAAACTATTTGTTGTATGTGCTCTCGTTGGCAACATTTAATCGGCAGTGGCGGCGGCTCAGAGTCGCACGATATAATAGCAAAGTTTAAAAACTGTGAGCATATTTTAAAGCGCAAAAGTATTTTATTTTGTAAAAAATCTAAAAAACTTAACCACTTTCGCAACTATTATTGGCACGTGAATTTTAAACGCCAAACGACGTCATTCATTTGCTTTGGACCAATGATGTCCGGCAAAATGATGCACGGTAAGTACTGCAGCATTACATCTCCCCCTATAAAGAATAGACACGTAGTTTTTTCGTATTAAAATAAAAAAAAATTTATTAATTACTATTTTTAGTTTTTTTAAATTAACAAAGAAAGATAATTATCTAACATATAAATATGTTACATAATTATTAAAATATATAATAAACTATTTTAATGGGTTCTTTTTAAAACAACAAAAACAAAATATAAAATAAATACATGATGGATCATGTATTTACAATTTTATTCACAAAAAGCATTTATTTTTGAAAAATTATTATGTAATATTAACATAATGTTTCATAAATCTGAATGATGAAAGAAATTTATTTTTTTTTTAATAACACTTAAATTGTTTTAAGAACATATTAATAACATATTCACATAGTTTAAGTTAGTCACAATTCTGAAATCACGATTAAATCGTTATTCACACGACATATGTATGTATATACCTTCTGATCAAAAAGTACTCGGATTTTGTAAATAAAACACACAAATTTAAATTTTATTCCAAATTTATTTTATCTCCTTCAAAATATGCTCCTTCTGAAGCGATACACATATGCCAACGCTTAACCCAAACTTCCACACACTTTTCGTAGGTTCGTATGGCTTTTAGTTCCTTCGGCGAATTCTCTTTTACCGATTCAATCGACTCAAAACGCTTACCACGAAGGAGCAATTTGAGTTTCGGGAACAGCAAAAAGTCGCACGGATCCAAATCTAGCGAATATGGTGCCTTAGCGGTGACAGTGATGCCGTGTTTGGTCAAAAAATCGCGTACAACAAGAATTTTCTATAGTAAAAATCGCTAAATGCACTAGAGGTAATCTCACATTAACAGCTGCTGTAAACAAACTAATTAACAGATGGCGCTCAAATTTGTACCATATGTCAAGAAAGGGTGTACCAACATAACAAAAAACAAAAATTTTTGAAAACGGTCTATTATTTAAGGAGTAGTTAACAAACAACAAAATCCGGGTACTTTTTGAGCAGAAGGTATATGTATATAAACGTGATTATAATGATTATACAGCGACCAAAATCGTTTTTTTTCTTGATTTTAACGGATAATGGTTTTAATTTAATTTGAATCTAATTTTAATTTGAATCTAAATCTAAATTTAATTTGAAGCTCAAAATCGTGGCCTTGTATTCTTGATTAAACGATATACATACATAATCGTTTGGGGAATAATTACACTGCTACAAAAATAGTCTTATTTTCTCTTTCTCTATTTTAGAGATTTACGTTTTTAATTTAATTTAAATCTGTTGAATTTAAATTTGCAACCAGTCTTTTCTCTACAAAACTGGGTTTCTGATTATATTGGATTAAATTTCTAAAATTGCGGTTTCGATTTTTTTGTAAATCATCAATTCTTATCTTCAAGTCATATCTTTTATAGTAGCTACATTATTGTTGATTAAGTTTACTACATCAATAATAGACAAAGACTTCTGTAGCATTATCTAAAAGAATCAGAATACCTAATCTGCGAAGAATGTAAAGTATTCTTGAAGGACGGTGTTGCAAAATCCCAAACGCACGCTTAAACTATAGCCTTTCGCTACAATAGTTGACGAGTTTCACTGTAGTCCAAATGGAATATAATACAATACCACAGTTATGCACTTCCTCGGAAATTCGGCAACATCTCTCCAAAGGACATATTGGCGTTCTTAACTGATACTCGTCTATGGAACTGAAGTGGGTATGTCACAATAATCCTGAAAAGATGCAGTGATGTGGTGACAAGTTCCCAACCCATCTTAAAATCTAATCTAATCTATGCATTTCCTCAATTGCATTTTTGAAATTTCTGGTTTTAATTAGATCGAATTATAAATGATTCTAAAGATCCAGTTTGGCCTTTTGATCTATTGTATTACCATATAAGAAACTCTAGGGCTTAGAAACCACATTGAAAATATGGCAAAACTTAAAATATTGTTTAGAAGGTGGACCTGGAGTTGGCTAAGATTCTCAAAGACAGAGTCCTCTAAAACGATATCCCGACTACACACATGCTCTACAGGGCACTAACAAAGCGATCAGAGACAGTTTCATCGTCCTCAATTGCGACAGGAATGATTAAAACGGAGATTTGATCTTATAGCATGATTCCTTAATCAGCTTTGACCCGTAAGCAAACCTATCACAAGACTAATACCTTTACAGAGCGTCTTAATGACAGTTCTTGGTTTTTTTCCTAAGTTTCGAAATTTCTAGTTACTGCAACCAGCTACTGCAGTTTAATTGTTGGTTAAAATCTTGCGAGTTATAGCGACTAACCGATGTGTTTTCATTAAATATGCATAACGTTAACATATGTGACACTAATATATTTAAAATGTACAGTTAAAATCAAGCTCACATTTTGAAAAGAAGTTCGATCAAATGCACCACTAATCGTATGAGGTAGTAAGATCGCAAAATACAGAAATATGCAATCTGCTATAAGAGATAATCACAGGAGATGATCACAAAAGACTACAACTTTTATTTGGTCCAAAACCTATTATTCCATTATGAATTGATAAATATGTAGGCGGGCAACCTCTGCTCATATATCTATTTGCCTCGTCGAGCTGCATTTATAAATCTGACGTGTTTTATCTTGTTTCGCATATTTTGAGACAGTGTGAAAAATTGATTAATTAATTAATGGTTTGTTGATATGTTAATTAATTTATTTTTTTTAATAAATTTTGTTAAATTTTATATATCATAAACTGGTGTATAGTAATCCGGATTCTAACAAATATATATACCAGATATGGGCCAAATCCGTAATGAGTCTATGGAAAGTAAAATAAAAAACCATATAATACAAACAAAATATTTGTAAAAAAAAATTTTTCGTGCCTCAATTTTTTTTATAAAAGTTACAAACAAAAAATTTAAATAATTAAAATGAAATTAACACCTGTCCACTAATAGTGAATTTTTCATCAAGTTTTCGCAAACATTAGTGATAATGATCGCTTTTTACTATTTTCAATTCTATTTATTTATTATCTTATTAACACATTTAAGTATCATGGTAATTTCCATAACAAAATAGGTATGTCTGAGGTGACAGAGTAGCGTCTCTGTTTGTAAGGGGATGACACTACTACCTACATTTTTTCTAAAGCTACTACTAACCCCTAAAGTTACCACTTTGATAATGTCTACCTAATAAAAAGGATACTATACTGGAAACTATTGATTCTTTTCGATATTAGGTACTCTTCAACGAAGTACATTTTGAAGGACTGTGTGTATTCAGCCCGGTAAGCGTTGAACTGAATATATAAGAAATCAATTATAGTCGGATAACTCTACTCCACTGACAACTAATCTACTGCTTAATATCATAATAACATTACTGAAAATAGGTACATTTAGAATTAAAAAATATCCATTTTTACTATTATAATAAATCGAAATAAACTGCTTCAACTGCTATTTTGAAAAATTGTAATATTTCGATTAATTGTAATATCAACGCAAGCTTGATTCTACAATAACCTATTAAAAAAATATCAGTAAATATAATACATAATTAAATGTTTATTCAAATAGAAAAAAATGTCTATTACTGTCATCAAATAATTACGAAATGATTAAAATAATTAATGATTAAATTAATCTACCATCCAACAATACATAAATAAACAAATTATTTGAATAAACTCTCGAAAAAATCCACCTTTATGATGTGTAGATACTCGCACTTAGCTGCTACGTATCACTTGTACTAAACGTGATAGGAAATATTATATCTAAAAACATTCATACACAATCGAGGCAAACAGCTTAGCTTTTTATGAGCACTAAAAAGTATATAAATAAATAATCTTTTGATATGAATTAGTTCATTTAGCACATGCTGTAAATAATATTAGCTTTTATGTTAGCTTTTGTAAAGCAAATTTGCTCTTAACATAAATAAAAGTAATTAATAAAAGCGATTTGGACTCACCTTTTAACTTTGGTTAAATCAGTGGTTATGTTACCAGAGACTTTTCTCAACCACTGTTTAAGAATCTATGGTTATATGTTTGCATTCATTTACTGTTTTGATAACCTTTGTTAATAAACCTACTAATTATCCTGGTTTGCTAATGGTTCAAATTATTCTATTTCCTTTTAACAGTTATTCAATAGATGTGCTGGTTAGTGCTTTCTTCTATATTAAGAATTTCGTAAATTATATGGGTGTTGAAGTCTTCTATTTTTTTTTTTAAATAATTTATTAATTACACAATAGTTAGAAATACAAAAAATAACGAATTTTACAAAGCAATGAAGAGTTACTATAACATATTATGAAGAAATTGACTTCATGCTATTTGTATGTATTATACTCTGTAATATTAATTTGTTAGACTTCCTACTGGTGTCATTACTACTTTCCAAATCCCATATACCTTACTTCATCTTGTGCAAATGAATTCAAAAGCAAATAAATAGCAAAACCTACTATTAAAATTTTATAAAATCATTGGTTAACCAATCGGTTATTACCAATTTCTCTACTTTCTTTAAGTAACCATAAATTCTGTGGTTGAATTAAATTGAATAAAACCAGTGGTTAAAGAAGAACCAAGAATGAAAAGACCTATACAAAGTGTTTGCTTAGTTTTTAAAATCCTTAAATAGATACTTTAAATCCTTTAAATGGATTTGCTTACATTTTTCCACCTGGTCCAAATGCAACCTTGTGTTAGGTTTTGTTTTTTTAAACAACCCGTTTTTGTTTAAGTGTAACTGTAAAATCTGTTATTTTATTACTTAAGTATATTATTACTTAAGTTATAATTAACATAGGGATACCGACATAAACAGTTTACACGTGTTTTACATATCCCTTTCGATTTGTGTTTAATTCGAGCGATGTTGAAAAAGTCATTCCAAATATAGAAAGGAGCGTTTAAATGTTTTTTTGTGGTATTTTACTCAACTCGATTTATTCTTTCTTCTCAACTTCATTCACTGTTC